GCATGCGACTCACCGCAATACAGTAATTCTAAAATTACGTATGCTTCACAAAACAGAATTCAATCTTGTAATAAAATTGTTTAGGTCTAACGCCTAATGTTTCCAACGATTGAAAAAGAATCGTTAAATCATTCATAATTAGCCATATTAAACAATAAATTTGCATACCCTCAGTGGGAAAACATTGGTAGAGACACATGGTACTGGCCAAAAGATTTACTGACTCGAATATTTATTTAAAGGAAATAAAATGAAACGCCAACTATATATAAAAATACACATACACGCAACTAACCTTATTAGATGGTTATACTATTCTCAGTCCGCCCAGTACATTCACCTATCGGGGCTCATTTACCCCTAATGAAAGGTAATATATTATTCTTTAAAGTTATATTTCTTTCTCGCGATCGATACAGATGGTCGAAAGGTAAACTGCGGAATCCAAGTTGTAATATGAAGTACAATAAATATTCCGAGCATCCTTAGCTAATATTATAAATACGAAAGTAAGTTTGTTGGTTTGTTACGCTTTCACGTCTAAACCGCTGATTCGATTATGATGAATGTATTACAAAGACAGATGGGAGCCCTGAGACGGTTATAAGGCACTTTTTCTACCTGTCAGTGAACATATCTCAGGACGAAGTCGCGGGTAAAAACTAGTATGGAATAAGATAACAAAATTTTAGAGAGTCAACTTTATTTGAATCAAATGGCTTTCCGCTGTTCCTGTCTACCTATACTTTAGATCAGGGATTCCTAAAGTGGTCGACATCAACCCTTTGAGGTCTAAATTGGTTCCCAGGGGTCGACATAAACAAAAACTGTTTTTGAAGGTAAATGAATCTAATGAGTCTAAAAAATTACCCCTATTAATTAACACAAGTTCTTATTTGAAACTTTCAACTGTATATTATACAGTATCATGAAAGTAACGTAATTTGAATTAATATTTATTAACTACACTTGATATTTACTAAATTTTATGTTTGTTTGTTTTGTTAAATTTTATGAAAATGATGTCAAGTTTACTTACTTAACCAACCGCGAAGTTTTTAAATTGGTAAATATTTTGTATCAATAGGAAAAAAAACTAGACACAGCATTTTGGAAGTAATTTGGCTATGTGTGGTATCAGTTCATTGTGGAAAAGGTCTCTTGCCCAAAATAGTTTGGAAATCTATGCTTTAGTTTATACAGATAAAATGTCTCCATACAAATGTTTCGCCAAAAACAAGTTAACTTTTTTATCCATGTTTGCGTAAATCGAGTTACCAGTATTACAGTTAATAATAAATACATGGGAGAACGATTACGACACCCATGGGAATGGAAGGGGTGGCCCATTCTATACCGGGACTACAGAGCATAGAATCCATTCATTCACAGAATAGAGAAAATTCAGAAATGCGACATATCACCTTCATCTATACTTTTACTGTACACACGCCAAAATACCAGCTTTACTAAAATATTTTGAACAGTTTAAAAGTTACACAAACAAATATTGCACCCGTGCGAAGCCGGGGCGGGTCGCTAGTTATATAACTGTACGCTATGAGAACTCATCGTTAAAAACACGTTAAAAATATTAGCCATTGATACTTCTTGTATGGCTATTTATGAATTATTATGTATTAGGTATTAGATTCGCTTTCTATATTGGCACTGGTAACATAATGTATGACGCACGAGTTACTAAAACTTGTTTTCTCAATGACAAATACCGAAAATCTGATAGCTAAACGCGTTTTGCGTGCCTACACCTGACTGACTATTTTATAGCAAGTAGATTTTGATTCTCAAAAAAAAGCAGTTACTTCAAATGTCTAATTTTAAAACGTGGACAAATAGGGATTGTTTTCGAATAATAACTATCAGGAGTCACACCGTATTCCGTAATTACGCAAAGAAAAATCCGCCATTATACTATAATAAAATATATCAATAATAAAAAAAAATATGGAACTAACACAGGCATAAATCAATCTGTCTGTTTTTCTGTTACATTACTACAACTATTTCTGATATTAAAAAGTATAAATATATGCAGATGACGATAAAAAAGTAGCTACAGGTAACAAAAGAGAAAATAAATGTGTCAATCACACATTCTAAAATCTAAAAAGCGTATACAGGTAAGTATATGCAGACGAAGATAGTAAAGCAGCCTCAAGAGACAGAGGAAGAAATAAATGTGTCAGACACATATCTAAAATCGAAAAGGAGCAGCTTTGTTGCCAAAATAGTTACCGCTAAAAATCCGAAAGTGTGTCTCAGGGGAGATTTCTGGTCAGAAGGAATGGTCACTGCACTACAGACAGCGATAAAGAATTGATCACGATCGGAAAATTATCGTGCAATAATACTCACTAAACCAAGTTAAAATAAGAACTCTCTAAGATTTTGAAATTTGGTTAAAAGTAGGATCGTTGAAGATTTTTACATTGTAATCCTTAATATTAAATCTTTAATACACTGAACATCACAATAATGATGACGTAAGTTGCCAATCAATTATCAATTATTCATCAATCCATTCTAATCATAAAACAAAAATAGTGCAGAAGTTCAAACATAAAAAGATGACGTCTTCACAATTCAACTTTGTTTCCTCACAGTCAATTAGCGAACCATGTTTAACTTACAATCCACATAGCTTGTTAGCTTTAAATGTTTCTGCTCGACCTCGGCAATGCTCTTTGAAAAGGTATATCAGCTTCTGCATACACTTTTAGAAAATGACTAAGATATAATATATCACAATCTAATTATCCGCATATGCAGAAAATATACCAATGTATGCAAGGACCCTAATATTTTTCAACAATCCTTGCAATGTTACATTAGGGCGGCCAATTTATTACTTTAAATCTATAGTCGCTTTTCTTTTAATGTTTATAATATTGAATGTTATGCAAAGCAGTTATTGGAGTGCAAATTTGATACTGTTTTATGTAATATTTATTTTATTTATGTAATATTTTTGTAATCTGTGTTGCTTTGCTATAAATAAATATAAGTGAATTAAGAATTTCATTATTCTTTAAGATATATATACTACGATATAGTGCGCAGATTAAATTAGATTAAACTGACATCGCTGTTTTTTAGGAAGCAAAATTTCAAAATTTACTTGTGAATTCTAATATCAAAGCGTCACAACTATACACCGAAATTTTATTACGGAAATCCGTTTGTACACTGTTCACTAACATTATTATATGAAAGACAATCTCACTTTAAGGTCATTTAAAACAATAAATAACATTTTATGATATGTACACAGTGGGAATTGCAAACTGCACGCAATTTTATGCAGATTTTAAAGTGAAAAATCATATCTAAACACAACGCTTTGAAATTTTTATGGATGTATGTTTGTTATAAATAGTTGTAAATCTAACTACTATACCAAATTTACTTATTTAGTTTTTAAAAACCATTTTTAAAAACTAAGTAAGAATCACAGAAATTAAATAATACACTATAAAAATTATATTTGCCATATAATTTACCATAGATCTATTTTTTTTCTCTATAATCCTCCTATCTTACTCGCAAAAAGGGATATTGATGTATAAAACCGCAAAAAATAATTTAATTGCATATAATGATTATAAAAAATTGCTCTATAATCGAACATTGAATATTTGCGTCAAACATTGGCGCCAAAACTCTATTTGGCGATATTATCAAAGTTATTTAAACAACAATAGATAACAATAAATAATTACATATGGTGAGTCAAACAAACATTGTAAAAATTCGAATTATTTATACAGAGATGACCTAATTACTCTATAATCGAGCGTGTAAGTATAAATTGTCAAAACCACTGGCGCCAATACTCTGTTTAGCAATATCATCAAAGATATCCCGACAGCTATTGATAATACAAGTATTACAAATGATGAGTCAAATATAGCATTGATGTTATTGCATGATTATTTACACGTAATAACAAATCATTAAATTTGAAACTAAATTATTAAAACTTTACCCTCTGTAATAGATATTTATAATTTATGGATTAATGTTAAATCTTAAAAAAGCCATAAAAGGACAAAATAATGATCTAAACCAGAATCAAAAAACTCTTTTCTTCACGAAAATTTAATAGATTGTCTAATTTAAAAAGATCGAGAAACATTTTTGTAGAAATTGAAGCTATAATTTTGTCTGACTTCACAGCCAATTTTACGAAAAAAATATTTATAGAAGAGTTAGTTACTGAATAGAGAACGAAGAATGATAGTAAGTTGGATACGGATTAAGCTACTAAAATAATAATAAATTTGAATGTATATGGAGAAAGATCAAAGAAATAAGACCAAAGTTGAATGAACTGATGTGAATTGGCTCAATGAAATCAAGATCAGGAAAGATAGCAAAAATGTGAATATAAAACCACATAAAATATGTTCAAGATATTTTCATGGTTTGCCACATTCCTGTTTCGTGATCAACAAAGAATTATATATTTCCTCTGAACATGCTTAAATAGAAATATATGAATAATACCACTTCTCACTCATAAACAATAATAATTATGCACTAATAAAATACACTCCTAATATATAACATCAATTAGCTAATCTTGAAAGGATAATGATAGCACTACAAAAAATACATGCAACTTTTAAGAAACAAATCAGTATATTCAAATCCAAGTCGATTAATATATTAGAAAAAAAGATTTCTTTTGCAAAACTTTCTGCAGAACTGGCGAATAACGTGAAAATTACTTGGCTGTTTATGACAGGTGTCTGCTCCGTACACCCCGTGTCCAAAAATCACGCACGATACTAAAACGGTGTTAAAACAATGTGATACTTGGAGCACGTTTACAGGACTAATCTACTTACTATTTGTAGGTACTTGTTTGACGATTTCTTTATACCAATAATAGATCAATAATACACATAATTCTAAAACACCTTAAACTTATGTCTCTTCAACTATCCAAAATTTAATATTTTAAACTCTAATCTCACCTTCGCAGTATAATGTGACATCCGCGAGACTCTCTGAATTCCAGAGGTTCGCGAAGGACGTGGCCAGGTTTGAGCCGAAGCTGTTCCATTTCAGACAGTACTGTTGCTGCTGAGAGTCCATGCCCGGGCCGCCTCGAATACCTGCCCTGTAACAAATGTAACTTTCATTTTTCCGGATTCGTGACTAAAAATCTTGACAGTATATGATGTTTAAAATATTATATTAAATAAAAACAATCAACAACAGTGAACGTGTCTTTGGAAACATAAAATGAAAATTTATATTTGGGACAAACATTATGAAAACAAATACATTTGGAGATAAAACACCTGATAATGTTACTAGCGCTGAATGAACATAATTAGTTGAAGATATATTTGTAACAGCCTACTTGACCGTAACGATTACAAAATTATCAGATCTTATTTAATTTTCTGAAGTAATCACGCTAATTAGCGGCTATTAGCAGCTCTCTGTTCCATTAACTTAATAAGTCTCATTCAAAAGTGGTACACCACGATAATCTCGTCGAGAACTCTAAATTGCTAGGCTATTAGAAAACTTTCATGTACTCATTTAATTATACTGCTGAATAAGACTAAAGTTTCAACATTGTCTTTTGTATGTGAAAAATTTTAGTAGGCAACTACATTTTGTGCATTGCAACCACTGTCTTATGCTGTTTCTGACATATCTACAAGAGTCATAAAACTACGAAAAGTGTTATCTTAAATCTTTTTGCTTTGGAATTGGACCTCGAGCAGTGTACTACATATTACACTATTACATACCAAAATGCAGTATAAAACAATCCTCTAACTAGAGTAATAAATATTTTTACAAAGAATCAGTAAATAAGGCCTAAGTATATATGTATCTAACAACAATAAATACATCTCTATTTTTATAATAAGCCTTAGCCTATCTAAGATGTTAGAGATAAACCACAGTATACAAAACACCATTTTCTTCAAATCCCCCTAATTTCACGTTCCACTACGATGTAGCAAGTTGCTTTAAAGATTCGTGTAATTTTACCGACTATTTCAAGGAACCTACGACCCAAGGTCGGGTGAACAACCGGTGCATGATCGATGCGACCACACCGATGAATATGTAATGTTACCACCGGGTAATTCCCACGCCGGCTCTATTCGGAAAACGAGGGAAATGTCACCTGCCACGACCGAAATGGATACTGAAATCGACTTTACGTCACTGTCGTAGTTAACGTTAATCATGTTTCATTTAAAATTACTTCAGGACATTGGATTCTTTTATCTTGGGGTATCTATATTACTTTTGTTATAAATATTATGTTATTTTTTTATCGTACAATCCATAGCAATATAAAAGATTTTATGTTTGTTTGTTTGTCCGCATCATAGAGAAAGTGTTTTTATTGTACTAACGGTCTTACGCTGCAAACTATTTTCGCTTCATAACAGAAGTAAGCAAAATTGTATTTAACAACAGAATACAAATGTAACACTAATACGAATAACTACTGGACAAATTTATATGAATTTTGGACATGCGGCAGATAACAACCAATTAGGTATTAAGGGTAATTCAGTACTAATAATTACGGTTTATTATCTAACGCTAAAAACCGCAGCTTCAATTTTATCGCTGTAAGATAATAATATAACGTATTAAATAAATAGATCTATAATCAGATAAACATGTTGTTTTCTATCGATACACAAAATATGAAATACCTATTAGATATGAATGACTATGTTATCTTGTATTCAATTCGACTATTCATGGTTAATAATATATAAATTTAAAAGTATGGTAAGGCACCGAGCAAGACTATTTTACAATAGGCTATTGTAAGAGAATCTCAAGATTATATATGATATAACCCTTAAGACTCATTTAAGGACCACTTAGAGACAGAGCCCATAAAATCAACATCTTGACAAATTTTCACAAAGTACGAGTCAAAAGAGGTTCCAAATTGGCGAAGATATTGCCTAATTCAAGACCTAAGGTATTTTGAAGATGGTTAAAATTACAATAAGAAAATTAAGTTTATTAGAAGCAGTATATTATATCTACTTTTCTTTTTATCCATAGAGAATGGTAAAAGATGACTAGAGAAACGAAATAGTTCCGTGTAACAGAAAACTCGAAGTAAAACCTAAAACTAAATCGTCCCGTCAGCATAGTAACAACAGACTTCCTCCAAATTTTTTCTCTAAATTTTTCTTGACATTGACAAAATTTACTTTCAGAAAATATTTGAGCCAAAAATTGGATTGGGAATGGTGTCTTGTTACTTCCCATTTTCGGGAAAAGGATTTTCGTTCTGGCATTAGAATTCAACTAGACTCTTCTAAAGAGATACAAAAAGAATTACAAATAAATCCATAAAAGATTTTAATTAATTCAACTAATAAATAAATAGGTAAAACTTTTAAATTATTTCATAAATTAATTCAATAATATAAAATCTGTTTTAATTTCGAATAAATACAAAAAAAAACTACTTCAAAACCTGTGATATCAATGTAAAATATTTGAAAAAAAATCGGTTTGTGGGGTACATATTAAAATTTACGGCAGGCATTATCACCTGCAATATACAACCATAGATGCACTGCACCAAGCCGATACCGTATCGATTTGATTCCTCGACGCCGTTACAGAGTAACTGTATATTTGCATGCGTGCACGTATAGATGACCAGTGTAACTTGGCCTGCGAAGGGTCTTGTCGTGCCCCTCTCTTATCCGAAATTTAGTTTACAGCGGGAAGGGAAGTAGGCCTAGATCAGCTGGTCGTGGTGGTATTTCGGCTGCGACCCGGTTCCGGCATGCAGCACACGCGCAGGCGTACGGCGACACGGAGGGGGGGAGGAGGTTGCACCGAGTTGCGCAAACAGCGGTCACTCTGCAACGCAGATGGGAAAGTGGCTCTACCGAACGCACGGTCGAAATGCAGAAGATTGTATGCTAGTTGGTAGGTACCCTACAAAAAATTTTTTCGTATGACAATATTTCAAAACGTAACAATTACTATTAAGAAATATATAATGGAAACCATTCTATATGTCACATATTTTCATAAGTGTAACAATCTTTATTCATGACTACAACGTAGGCAACGCCACGGGTAACAGCTAGTAAACATCCCATTAATATTTATTTATCCTACGAAAGTTTGTATAAATGGCTATACATTACCCATCGGCGGTTAAACGCCTTGAGAGATTTTAATGAATTTTGCTACAAAAACTACATTCAATATTAACAAAAAAGTTTAGCGTCATTTCCCTGTATACAGCTTCAATCTAGATAACTCTGCCACTTTAACAATATTTTCTTTTTAATTTTTATTTTTAACTAGTTATATCCCGCCGCTTTGCCCACTTGAATCAATAAGTACATAAAGTATCCTATGTGCTAAATTAAGATATAACCATTTAAATTAGTTATATAAAGTAGTTTTCATGTGAAAGAATAAGAAATATCCATCCATCCAATAATCGTTAGAAACTTTCGTATTTTTTAAATTAATAGGATTTAAATTGCATACACAATATAAAGGGATTATATAAACTCTAAATTACTGTCTTATAATCAATTTATTCTTCTCTTATAAAGAGAAATCTATGCCCAGCAATGGAACACTAATGGGTTGTTATAATATTGATAAATTATTCACGATGATAAAGTCCAATTCTAATCAATATGGAAGTAAAAATTAAACAAAACTTACCAGAGGATGACTATACAAAAATCATTTGTTTGGGTGCCTCTACCCCATTCGTGATTATGCCGTCAAGCAGTTGCGTTCGAATGCCTCTGTTTCGTTTTGAAATATGAGATACGGCAGTGAAATTACAGAGTACAGAAGCGTAACACTTTAATCCACAGGAATGGCAACGCATAAGAAGTATCATGGGTGACACAATATACTCTGTCTACGGTACTGTTCAAGTCTGTTGGCGACATTTACCACTTTCCATCAGTCGTTTGCCTATTTTATGTTACATAAAAAAATTCTACATAAAACAAATCTAAATTTACTGCAATTAAAACTACCCACATATTAGAATAATTTACTTTTTCACACATTAAAACAACACCTCTTGATTCATAATAATGATAGGAAGCAGAAAAAAACGAAGCAGAACATTAGAAACCGATTGCACATTGTACAACGAGTATTATAACGGTTCTAGAAGCCGTGCATCATTCTATGCACTGTTCCCATGGCCTCTCTCTGGCCCTTTGATCTATTGCATTATTGTACATTGTAATTGTAATACATATATTAAAGTTATTGTCGGAAAGGAAATTAGGCATTATAGTAATAATAGAAGTAATTTTAACAGCGATTATACAGATACATAATCGGTATCGTGTGGCGAAAAAAAGTCATAAAAATCGGCCAACAAACTACTCAAATGTTCAATCTTTATACAGGATGTATGAAAGTTTGAAAGTAAGTATAATAATAGTGCATTTAAATTATGTCTGTCTTATTTATTTTTTGTATATATTCTAGAAATAGAAACATATTTCCAGAATCCACACATACGAAGTAGCAGGCAGAAAGCTAGTCTAATATAAATAAATATATAATATAAATAAATAATAAAATATAAATAAATACAATTTACAATGGAAAGTGGTATCAATAACATACAGATAAAAATAAGATCATGGGTTTCATTATGACATGTGACAGTGTTATCACCAAATAATTCTACTGCCAACCGTATTTCACCACATAGTGTCCGTTCACACAGACCGGCTCGGAGAGGAGAACACATTTAAGTCACGTTTAAAATTGAGTTTTAGATCATTTAAATAAGGTTTCTTTTTACTTTTGTACCTTTTTTGGCGGCTCTTGCGCATTTATTTATTCTTTATTGACTACATTACAAACAAATGTTTGGTGCAAAAAACAAGCTTAATACTATATTCCATTCCCTCCCAGACAACTCTTAGTAAAAAAGAAATATAAATATGCAGTGAAAAATAATGAAAATTATTATGGGTAAATAGTTACAGACATAATTCTTAAATAACAAAAGAATCTGTGTGAATAGATACTAAGCCAAAACTCAGCCGAGACAGAGGTATCCAAGTAGATAACTTTTCTACTAAAAAGTGTTTCTCTGGTAG